ACTAGCTCTGGTGGGGCGAGCAAAAACAATAGGAGAATGGTGTTGATACTTTGTACCATTGGATGATAGGAAAACTGCTGTACTCTTTCCTGCTGATGCTGTGGCACACAGCTGTTCTGGCCTCATGCAGTAACATGTGATGGAAACACCCAAGAAAATAGACAAGGTTATATCTTTGTACAATCCTGCATATCAGATGTGAGGGAAATGTGGCCCATTATGCCCAATGAACAGCAGTTGGCAACATCAGTACTTCCCTGGATGTTAGAAGCTGTTAAATATTCAAAGAGCATTTGGGGGAGTTTGTGGTGGGGGGTGTGAGGGTGTGAGGGAGGCACAGTGAGACTTGGGGAGGGTGCATGGAGGTGCGCGAGTGGCCAGCATGGAACAAGTGCAGAGGGGCTAGGGGACGGTGCACAGGTGGGGAAGACTTACCCCAGCGACTTGTGACCTTCCCTGCTGGCTTCCACACTGACTTTCTGGGAAAGCCAGCAGGGAAGGTTGGAAATGGTGATCATGTGATTACAGGGTGCTACAACTGGTTGTAAGTGTGAGCTGGTTGCCAAATGCCCAGGTTGTGATCATGTGACTGCAGGAGTGCTGGGATGGCCAGAACTCCAAGAATCAGTTGTAACTTCCATTAATTCAGTCCTGTCGTAACTTCAAACAGTTGCTAAACAAATGGTTGTAAGTCAAGGACTATCTGCAGAAGTCTCCTGATTTTAAAATCAGGTTGAACTGTTAAAAATTTAAGCAATGTTATCTCATATCTTGTGCTACAGGCAGAATCAACCAAGAATGTCACCAACTTGTGGTGGAAGGTATATAGGATATGGTTGCTTTTCTTTTTTTAAAGTGTGAATAATCTGTTTGTTAGCCATTATAAAAGCAATCTTCTTGCACAGAGCATAGGACAGAAATAGAAAAGCCTTGTCAGCAGAGGAACATATTTCAGATTTTGAGAATAATTGTTATGTTCTCACAAAATGCAAACCACATTCCTGACATGGTTGACAGGGCCAATAACAAAAACACTACTTAAGATTGTAAGATGTCATCAGATTCAGTTTAACTCCTGGTAACTGTATGAGCAACTGCCTGCCATCCTGATCAGTCTTTGTAACTCTTCCCATGGAATTCCACAGGGGGCTTTTATCCAACCATCCACCTTATCTGTCATCTTCCTTTGACTGTGGCCAAGCATAGCAACCATTTCCCAGAAGATGAATTGAGACACTTATTCTCTACCACTCTCTCCGGTTTTCCAGGATGTTCTCTACCGACTCCCAGTCTGGCTTTGTTTTTTGGGATTACCAGAAGGGTGCAATTCTGAAAAAAGCAGTTACTCACCATTGTTATTTTCTAAAACGTACCTTCGGCCAAACATACCAAGTTCCCATTTGTGAAAAGAGAAAAAAAAAAATAAGCCAGAGGAATCAGCAGATAGGTTGGTAGCCACCATAGGAGGTGCCAGTAAACATACTACTGTCCACTGGCGTTCCCTTTGGTGGATTTTGGACAAGTGAAAAATAATACTTCACCTTCCTTTCCTCGTTTGCTCTGCTCACCTACTAACCGTTCTGGGATTCAGGGCACTGAATGTCCCTGCTGTATTTCCTAAAAATGCAATTCTGTACATAATGCTAAGAGCGTAGGCAACTAGTGCCATCTATGGGTCGGTTTGAAAAATTAAAAATGGTTAAAAACTGGAGAATTCCGTGTGCTATAAAATTGGTATTTTGACATGAAGCCCAACATGTTTTGGCTAAAATCCTTAGTCAGGATTTCCTGGCTGAGCAGGGATTTGGACTTGGCTTCCAACAAATTAAATGCACTAGTGATGGCAAACACAAGTACACATTGTGCCAAGTATCCAGGGACTCATGTAAGTTATTACATCCTGGTTCACATCCCATAAGCCATGGTTTACAAAGCACAGTGGGTGGGTTCCCACATGTTGCTAAGCAAAATGCAATATGACTAACTGCAGCGTGTGAAACCAATAACATTCCTTCTACAACCATAATGTTTGTAAAATCAGTTCCTCTGATAATCTTCACAGAACTGGGAGATGCTTTCATAACTGGCACAGCAGTGATGGAGCAAAGGCAGCTATGAAATAAAGGAGTGTGGTCCAAGCAATTTTGTATTTTATATCAATAGAAATTTCAGTTCTGAATAAGAACCAAGCCTGTGTTTCACTGATATAATTTTACAGCTGCTTATGAATAAGTTTTTCCAACTTAGAGAGATCCTTTGGCAAGACATTTTCCTTTACTTCAGTGTTTATGCCTGAGTAAAAGTAGGGCTATTATATCTGGCCTGCAAAAATCCAGACAATCGCTGGAAGGCAGTAAAGATGTAGTGCTTTCATATCTCTTTGTTACCATTTCATAACTTTCCTATTTGACTAGCTGTGTAGCTGTACTGAGTGCAGCCGGAAGGGCAGAGAGGGGTCGTATGGGCTCACTTCAAGCTTCCACGTATGTACTGCAGAAAGCTTTCCATCCACAGACTTGCAGGAGCATCTACCCTGGGGTCATACAAAAATGACGTTGCGCCATTGCAACGTAAGCCTTGCCCTTTGGTACGAGCATCTGTTTCACACACGGAGTTTATTATTAGTGCTCTTTTATTATTTACCTGACTAACTTTTGCATCCCACCCAGCTCTAAAGACTCCAGGCAGCTAACATCCAAAAGTAAAACTCACAAAATAACAGCAACAGCAACAACAATAATACTGTTTATATCACAATAATAATATAAAATCAGAAAAACAAAAATAACAGAATACCTATAACAGTTAGAACAAACCGCATCTCTCAAGCTCCAAATGCTCTCTTAAACAACCAGTATTTTGTTGCTGTACAAAAATATAGGAATTGGGGGTGGGGGGCAGCATATTTCACAGTGACAGGGCAGTTATAGAAAAGACTTACTTCCAGTCCTAGCCACTTTTATTTTGCTGAGGAGAAGAAACCCAAAGTGTCCCCTTACAGCTGAATTGAACAAAATGGGGTAGATTTCCTAGGGAGCAGATGATCCCATTGGTAACCTGGACTTAAGTCATGTAAGTCTTTATAAGTAATAACCAGCAACTTGAATTGTACCTGGAAACAAACAGGTAACCAGGGCATCCCTTATAGTATCAGTGTAATGCTTCTGAAACAGCTCTTACCTGGGATCGTTTCATTTCAAGTAGCCTTCAAGGGTAGCCACAAATCAAACATCTTTAGTAGTCCATCTTCAAAGTTACAAGAGCAATGTGGAGTCCTTGGGGTTCTCTGAGCTTGGTTCTTTTTTTGCAAATGTTTCATTACCCGGCTAGGTAACATCTTCAGTGCTAAAATGGGATGGGGTTTGCTCTCTGTTTATATACTGTGGCATGCCCTGCCAGTGTGGGTGGGGGTGTGGGTTTGGTTTTGTTCCTCTGGTAGTTCCTTGATTAGGGTATTGTTCACTGCTTGCTTGTGTGCCTGGTGATAATCTCTGCTTATCTGGGTGATGATTGCTGATGAGAAGATGTTCTGGTCTTTTGTTTTCTTTTCTATTGTCTCTTTTGAATAGTGTGTAGATGCTG